TTAATTCTAATATTTTTTTCTATTTTACTTTTTTTTTTATACTATTTTTTATTCCATTCTGTTCTTTTCAAAATTTGAATTTCAGAAAACAGCTATATTCTTTCTATTTTGTTCTATTCTTTTCCAATCTATTCATTTTCTATTTTGTTCTATTCTGTTTTGCTATTTTTTAATACTCTAATATTCTATTCAAATCTATTCTATTTTTTCTGTTCTGTTCTATTCTATTCTTTTACTTTCTGTTCTATTCTTTTACTTTCTATTCTCTTTTAATCAATTCTATTCTTTTTGAAATTCAAATTAGGAAATCAGCAATAATGTTTTCAAATTCGAATTAATGCTTGAATTTGATTCAAACCTGATTCAAATTTTGGACAAATTTAGTTTTCACTATTACATATTCATTTAATTTCTTTACTAGTGTCATTTGGAATGTCGGATATATTCAAACCTCTGAATGAAGTAAATTTTGTCCGAGTAACTCTTCCTCCATAGTAACTCTTCCCTCCATAATAACTCTTCCTCCATAGTAACTCTTCCTCTATAGTGAACTCTTCCTCCGTAGTAACTCTTCCTCCATAGTAACTCTTCCTCCATAGTAACTCCTCCTCTATAGTAACCCTTCCTCCATAGTACCCTTCCTCCATAGTAACTCTTCCTCCATAGTAACTCCTCCTCCGTATAGTAACCCTCTTCCTCCATAGTAACTCTTCCTCCATAGTGACTCTTCCTCCATAGTAACTCTTCCTCCATAGCAGTGCTCTCAACCTTTCTAATGCCATGACCCTTTAATACAGTTCCTCATGTTGTGGTGACCCCCAACAATAAAATTATTTACCCAGTAATTATAATTCATGAGTGTCACTTTACCTCCAATACTGCTGCTTTCTACACATCAGTAGCTGCTCTTTACACATCGGAAATAGTGTTTTCAGTGATGGTCTTAGGGGACCCCTGTGAAAGGGTCGTTCGACCCCCAGGTTGAGAACCACTGCTCTATAGTAACCCTTCCTCTATAGTAACTCCTCCTCTATAGTAATCCTCCTCTAAAGTAACTCTCCTCAGTAAAGTATAATTCTCCTCTATAGTAACCCTTCCTCTGTAGTAACCTCTTCCTCTGTAGTAACTGCTTTTCTCCATGGTAACTCTTCCTCCATGGTAACTCTTCATCCATGGTAACTCTTCCTCCATGGTAACTCTTCCTCCATGTGTAAATGGTAACTCTTCCTCCATGGTAACTCTTCCTCCATGGTAACTCTTCCTCCATGGTAACTCTTCCTCTATTGTAACTCTTCCTCTATAGTAACTCCTCCTCCTGTAGTAACTCCTCCTCCTGTAGTAACTCTCCTCCTGTAGTAACTCTTCCTCCGTAGTAACTCTCCCTCCGTAGTAACTCTCCCTCCGTAGTAACTCTCCCTCCGTAGTAACTCCCCCTCCGTAGTAACTCCCCCTCCGTAGTAACTCCCCCTCCGTAGTAACCGCATATGTCTATGCCAGACCCAAAGCTGTCTTCATTGCTAGCTGTGCATCATATGCCCCGTCATGTCAACAAATAACTTCAGGCAAATCAGTAAAAGAAGCCGTAAGAATCCATGAAGCTCAGACCCCAGACCGGCCCTGCGGTTTTGTCCCAGGTTCTATTCACAACACGGTGGCAGTGAGTGTCTTTTTGAGGTTTAATGCTTGTTGAACTTGGTTGGGGTGTAGGGTAAGCCATGGGATACTTTAAATGTAATGTGCCAGGTAACGGCACTCTCTGAGTATAACTAAGCTCCTCGGGGGTTGGCCTCTTTTTGGACTAGCAATAGCAGGAGCAATCCTAAGCCAGCAAACACTCAAAGGGTTAAACAGCAACAGTCACTGGGATCTCTCTCAAGCCTTTACTAATTGTGTCCCTCAGGGCCATCTTAATATGGGCCCCTGGGCAAAGTAATGCATTGGGGCCCCTACCAGTCTGCCCCAATTTACGCACCTACTATTATAAGTCAAAGAATAAGTAATTGATAGAATTTCACGTTTACTATTTGTTCTAAATTGCTGTCCATGATGAAATAGGAGACGTGGTAACGCACGTGGTCAGAATGGCACCAGTTGCACAGCTCCAGATGTACACGGGATGATGTCTTCTGGTACACTGAATTTTGTCAGGAGGGCACAGTACGGGGGGGGGGGGGGGTCAGGAGGGCACAGTACAGGGGGGGGGGTCAGGAGGGCACAGTACGGGGGGGGGGGTCAGGAGGGCACAGTACGGGGGGGGGGTCAGGGGGCACAGTACGGGGGGGGGGTCAGGAGGGCACAGTATGGGGGGGGGTCAGGAGGGCACAGTACAGGGGGGGGGTCAGGAGGGCACAGTACGGGGGGGGGTCAGGGGGCACAGTCGGGAGGGCACAGTACAGGGGGGGGTCAGGGGGGGAGGGCACAGTACAGGAGGGCAGTCGGGGGGGGGGTCAGGGGGCACAGTACAGGGGGAGTCGGGAGGGCACAGTACAGGAGGAGTCGGGAGGGCACAGTACAGGATCAGGAGGGCACAGTACAGGGGGAGTGGGATCAGGGATCAGGAGGGCACAGTACGGGGGGGGGTCAGGAAGGCACAGTACAGGAGGGCACAGTACAGGGGGGGTCAGGAGGGCACAGTACAGGGGAGTCAGGAGGGCACAATACTAGGATCAGGAGGGCACAGTACAGGGGGAGTCAGGAGGGCACAATACTGGGATCAGGAGGGCACAGTACTGGGATCAGGAGGGTACAGGGGGGTCAGGAGGAAGGACACAGTACAGGGGGGTTAGGAGGGCACAATACAGGGGAGAGGGCACAATACAGGGGAGTCAGGAGGGCACAGTACAGGGGAGTGGAGGGCACAATACTAGGATCAGGAGGGGCACAGTACTGGGGGGGTCAGGAGGGCACAGTACTGGGATCAGGAGGGTACAGGGGGGTCAGGAGGGCACAGTACTGGATCAGGAGGGCACAATACTGGGATCAGGAGGACACAGTACAGGGGGGTCAGGAGGGCACAATACAGGGGAGTCAGGAGGGCACAGTACAGGGGGGTCAGGAGGGCACAGTACAGGGGAGTTAGGAGGGCACAATACTGGGATCAGGAGGGCACAATACTGGGATCAGGAGGGCACAGTACAGGGAGAGTCAGGAGTGCACAATACTGGGTTCAGGATGAGATTATCAAGGGGCCACTATGCATCTGGGGCCCCTGTCCACCACCCAGGGTTGCCCATGCATTAAGACAGCCCTGGTGTCCCTGTGTATTTGGATGTCTCCTTCCAATACCACCCAGACACCTGCACAATGAGTCTCCAGGCTGGATACTCAGTGGACTCCCTCTAACCTAACTTGAGCAACTCTCAGAAACAGCCTCCACCGGCTCTCCCTGAGCTGGGATCTCATAGGGCTCCTGCAGATCTCAGCTATTCTTCCCAGAAGGGCAGAAGTCCTTCAGGCTGGGTCTTCTCCTCCAGGGTACAGACCCTTGCTGTTCCAAGCCCCAGACTGTTTATACACCTCTCAGCCACACACTGGTCATCTTTTCTCCCCAAGGATAGTCTGAGGCTGTATGAATATTCAAGTCCAGGGTCTGCCTCTTCCAGCCCACTACATTCTAGAACCCACTAGAAGGCGGGGGGAAGTAGTTCAGCCTGCGACCAGCAGGACTTAGAACAGTCAAAAATAATCACATGCCATTCCACAGGCTACAGAAGAGCCAAAAAAACTACATTTATCTTACCCTCATTAGCAATGTACCTAGGAGGGTGCTACATACAGAACATGTTGACCTCCAAAAGTTATCTGTGGTTACCTTTGACTGGACATGTTCTGTAATGCTGAAGACTTTTGAAGACATGAGGTTCACATCTCGGAAAGAGCGGACCAGTTGTTTACAAGAGCAGTGAACGAGACCATTGGAAAAAAACCATCCCTAGTAGGGGTGGGGGTCTTTGACACCATCTGTCCGCCACAAATAATGCTGTTTTAACCTCTTTACCCTCGGCGATTTAACAACAGTTCATTATATCAGATGAAACTCAAAGGATTACCACCTGATGCAGCCTTCCCACGCCAGGTCATGGTATTACAGGGTGGTATCAAAAAGGTTTTGGGACTAGTTTTGTAACATGCCAGTGGATGGCAGCACAAGGCTGCATGCACAGTCACAGGGAGCACTGACTTTCATACGTAAGTGTGCCGAAAGACATCATCCTGTGTACATCGGGAGCTGTGCAACTGGTGCTATTCTCAACACGTTACCACGTTTGCTATTTCTTTATGGACAGCAGGTTAGAACAAAGAGAAAATGTGAAATTCTGCGTGAAACTGGACAAATCTGCCACGGAGACGTTTGGCATGACTTGGCATAAGTTGTTTTGAGTAGCACACGCGCTTCAAGAGTGGAAGAACAACTCTAGAAGATGACGAGAGATGTCCAAACCATTTGGCAACTTTTGCATGGTGATCTTCGGAGAACAATCCTCAACAATGCTGCCAATGTTGATGTGTCATGGGGATCAGTCCAGGCAATCCTCACGTGTGATTATAACATGAGCCATGTTGCTGCCAAATCCATTCCCAGGCTGCAATGATCTCGCTCCCACCTTACACACCAGATTTGGCTCCTGCGGATCTTCCCGAAGATGAAGATCCAGCTCAATGGTCGCTGCTTTGACAACATTGTGGAGATCCAGCACAAATAGCTGAAGGTGCTTGATACACTTTGAAAAGAAGACTTCCAGGACACATTCAAGAAGTGGCAGGACTGCTGGGAGGTCGTATTGCTGTGCAAGGGGACTATTTTGAAGGTGATAGTGTGTAAACGTAGATAAGTAAAGTACTTTATTGTAAACGGAGCGAGTCTCCAAACGTTGTGATACCATCTTGTACATACTTACAACTGTGGGGATCCACAAGCGTTCACATCTCCCATCCTGTTGTTAGGCAATTATCATCTGCCTTGACACCTTCCATGGTGTTTGGATAAAAATTACACGAGGATATACACTATATTGCCTAAAGTATTGGCCCCACCCTTCCAATCATGTGATTCAGCTGTTCCAATCCCCTCCCAATCATGTGATTCAGGTGTTCCAATCCCCTCCCAATCATGTGATTCAGGTGTTTCAATCCCCTCCATATCATGTGATTCAGGTGTTTCAATCCCCTCCCAATCATGTGATTCAGGTGTTCCAATCCCCTCCCAATCATGTGATTCAGGTGTTGCAATCCCCTCCCAATCATGTGATTCAGGGGTTCCAATCCCCTCCATATCATATGATTCATGTGTTCCAATCCCCTCCCAATCATGTGATTCAGGTGTTCAATCCCCTCCCAATCATGTGATTCAAGTGTTCCAATCACCTCCATATCATGTGATTCAGGTGTTCCAATCCCCTCCATGGCCACAGGTGTATACAATCACGCCCCTAGGCATGCAGACTGCTTCTACAAACATTGGGAAAGAATGGGTCGCTCTCAGGAGCTCAGTGACTCCAAGCGTGGTCCCGTGATAGGTGGCCACCTGGGCAATAAGTCCATCCGTGACATTTCCTGGCTACTAAATATTCCACACTCAACTGTTAGTGGGATTATAACAAAGTGGAAGCAACTGGGAACAACAGCAACTCAGCCACCAAGTGTTAGGCCACGTCACATGATAGGGTGGGGTCAGCGCATGCTGAAGTGCACAGTGCGCAGAAGTCACCAACTGTCTGCAGAGTCAATAGCTAAAGACCTCCAAACTTGGTGTGGCCTTCAGATGAGCCCAACAACAGAGCATAGAGAGCTTCATGGAATGGGTTTCCATGGCCAAGCAGCTGCATCCAAGCCTTACAACACCAAGTGCAATGCAAAGTATCGGATGCTGTGGTGTAAAGCACGACGCCACTGGACTCTAGAGCAGAGGAGACGTGTTCTCTGGAGTGACCAATCACGCTTCTCTGTCTGGCAATCTGATGGACGTGTCTGGGTTTGGCGGTTGTCAGGAGAACGGTACTTGCCTGACTGCATTGTGCCAAGTGTACAGTTTGGTGGAGGGGGGGATTATGGTGTGGGGGTTGTTTTTCAGGGGTTGGGCTTGGCCCCCTAGTTCCAGTGAAAGGAACTCTTAAGGTGACATTTTGGACAATTTTATGCTCCCAACTTTGTGGGAGGAGTTTGGGGATGGCCCCTTCCTGTTCCAACATGACTGCCCACCAGTGCACAAAGCAAGGTCCATAAAGACATGTAGGAGCCAGTTTGGGGTGGAGGAACTTGACTGTCCTGCACAGAGTCCTGACCTCAACCCCATAGAACACCTTTGGGATGAATTAGAACTAAGACTGCTTTTTTTTTTTTTAATTTTTTTTTTCCATGGCTTTAGAATGTCCAGACATTTTACATCTCTAGGCAGCATGTTGCTTCTGCCATTACAAATTCTATCAAATGTCATGCTTTGGTGAGCATTCACCCCTCATTTTTTTTTGTAATTAAATGTGTTCTACCGTTACCTATTTTACAAAAAGGGATTGTGATAATACATCCATGATGACTTGTGGTCCTGGGGACAACATCACTTAACTGACCTAGTTGAGGAACATCAATGAAGTTTGGCCCCAGGGCATGTATCTGCTTACGAACATCTGTGATGTAAAGTGTCTGTATCAGAACTATAGAAACTAGTTGTGAGGATACACATAAAAGGATACACATAAAAGGATACACATAAAAGGATACACATATGTAACGTCCTCCAGGTTACATATATAGACTTATTTTTTTTTCTCTTTAGGCATAGGCTGAGCAGCACCCTGGGATGAGTCAGCCTGTGAGTGAGGCAGGAGTTCACTTCAGGACAGGCTGGGAGGCTCTAACAGGTCAGGGCTGCTGGAGCCCTCCCACCTCGGGTCTCTTTGGCATGGGTCCTGAAGGCTCCCTTTAACGGAACCGACCCAGACTGCGCTTGGGTACTTCCGTTAGACTACCGCTTCCCTGTCCGAACACCGACCACAGACACCACCGCTGACCATACAAGACTAGACGACACCAGTCTTGAAGTAAACCAGGAGGTAGACTAGTTTATTTGAACACAGATACAAGATATATACACTCAGGGGGACAACCCCCCCTCCCTGCATAATGACACAGGGCGGGGCAATCTACATTTAGTAACGAGACACACAGGTATTCACACTTCACACCAGCAGACAGTCCCATCAGGAGGGAGGGCTGCTGGAGATACCCCCCCCCCCCCCCACTAAGCTAATACAGATAAACACATACATCCCATAATAGTTTGCTCCCAAGCCAGACAAACAATAGAACAATGGGATGCAGCCACATAACACCAAACAATCCACAACCCCCCCCCCACCTATCTCCTAGACATGTCTATACAATATTAGGACAGATCACCCTGTACCCCTAACAGGCACAGGGTGACTTACACATAAGAGGAATATGGGGAGCTGAGACCTCTCCAAAGTGAGCTGTGTTCCATGGGTCCCCCACCCAAAGTGACTACCCTCGCTCCAGCCCTGCTAGAACACTGTCCCTCCTGCTGAGGCCAAACCCTGTGCCATCTTGTACCCCCATAGGCCTCCTCACGACATCCCCGCCCATAGACCTATATATCCAAAGGAAGGAATGTTCACACTGTAAATAACATCAAGGCACTTTCCTGGTGTTGTTCAGGGAATGGCAGGACAGTCACATCACAAAGACATACTGTCCAGAGTCATGTGACATATCCAGTCAATCACATAAAGTGGACGATCCGCAGTAGTCTCAGGTGAAAGCATGTGCAGCACCTCAGAGCCATCTCCCTCCAGTCTCTTCGCTGCCCAGAGTCATCAGTCAGGACTGTAGACACCTCCTAGCTGAGTACAACTCTCCTGGGAACCCTGCATGGAAGCAGTCGCACACAGGGGTCCCCAGCCTGGCCTTTTTGCACTCCACCTTAGCCCCACCTGCATAAGGGACAGAAAGTCTACAGCCGGCTCCTCCTGTGTACAGGTCCACTCTACTCGGCCTCCTGCTCTGTCTAGGGTCCACATGTGCATTTTACATGCTGACAGATGTGGGGTGTTTAGCTCCCATACCCCAAAACTGAGTGTGTCCCTCCCCCCTTAGCCTGAATATGGGTGCTAACTCACCCTTGACATCACTTGTGGGAGAACTCCACCTACCAGGGGCCTAACACCTAGTGTCACTACCTGCAGTACCAGACACAATTCTGGAACAGAGACACCTAGTGGCAGGGTGGCTAACTGCATCTGCCTATAGGGCATGGTGGAAGAATCCAGTAAAGACTTTTCTAAAAAAAAATCTCTGTTCACGTTGTGAGTGCTGCCTGTCTCCTAGCCATCTCTTTCCACAACTTCCTAGATTCCTCCATTTCTAGGGACAACATATTCCATGGTACCCCCCACCCCTCCCCCACACCACTGAACACTAAATCCTTTACAGGTGTATATTCCCATGAGATTTAGGATCATTATCCTTCCCAGGATCCCACAGTGAGTTGCATCATCAATGCCTAACATCATTTTTTGGGCCCAAAACCGCAATAACCCACCATCTCCTCAATAACAGCATAAATATACCGTGGTGGATAATTCATCAACATGGAGGATGTTAGAGGCGGGTAGTCTCACAGAAGAAAATTGAAACATTTAAAAATAATCAATTTTTATTGCATAAATGGTTTGTTTCAAAAACATGGGGGGGGGGGGGGGGCATAAACCCCATTATAAAAGCACATATCAGTTGGATAATAATACAGAACATTATCCCCATGAAAAATAGAAATACACAGCTGTGGTTAACGCCAGGATTGATGGTACGATGCCAAAGCAGATACCCAACGCGTTTCGCCCAAATGGGCTTCTTCGGGGGAACAATGGGGATTGCGTTCTGCTAGTTCCAGTAGTATCCGACTATGCACCCACCCAATAGAATCTCACTAATAATTGGGGCGGCCATGGCCAGAGTCACATATTCCACTCCTCCAAGAGTGCAGCCCTTAACTGCTTTGAGATTTGCACCACGCTCTGTAGTGACCTCGGTGTAGAGCTATTCCCCCTGAGGTCATCACAGAGGACAAGGGGGCGCTCTTTACGTCTGGAGGAAAAGAAATGTGATCTCCAAACACGGAAAGGTTTCTTCATGGTGAGAGCTGTGAGAATGTGGAATAGACTCCCTCAAGAGTTTCTTGTATGTGTTGCTCTCTTGTTGGGTCATGAGGACAACCAAGTGTCCACTTGTCACCCCAACAATCAAGAGTTGGTTGTGGCCAGCTCAGTGGATTGCTGTAGGAAAGTCCTGGATCCTTTCTTGGATACACAGAATATAACTGGATATAACATTTATAGGGAAAGTGGATCCAGGGAATATCTGATTGCCTCTCGGGGGATCAGGGAGGAATTTTTTCCCCAGCAGTAGCAAATTGGATCGTGCTTTGCTGGGTTTTGTTTGCCTTCCTCTGGATCAACTGTGGGTGTAGGTTCTAAATTTTTTTTTATCTGTGGTTGAACTGGATGGACTTTTGTCTTTTTTTTCAGGCAGACTAACTATGTAACTATGTAACTATATGTAACTGTGTAACTATGGAACTATTGAACTATGTTCCTGTGTGACTAGAGCTGGATGCTGCTGGAAGTGTCCATGCCGGGCTCCCCAATCGCACGGGAGACCCCACTAAAGGCAGTGGCTGGCAGGAGGTGGGCCCCCTTCTGACACCTCTTAAAGTAATCCAGTGGGTTGTTAGGTGCTTTGGATTACTTTTACTTTGTAGGAAATCACCTGGGCTACAAGAGGATGCCGCTGCAGCGATGACTGAGATATCACCCTTCCCATCTATAGGTAGATCCATAGACTCCCTCAAGAGTTGGTTGTGGCCAGCTCAGTGGATTGCTGTAGGAAAGTCCTGGATTCTTTCTTGGATACACAGAATATAACTGGATATAACATTTATAGGGAAAGTTGATCCAGGGAAATATCCGATTATTGATCCAGGGAATATCCGATTGATCCAGGGAATATCCGATTGCCTCCCGGGGGATCAGGAAGGAATGTTTCCCCTGCAGGAGCAAATTGGATCGTGCTTTGCTAGGTTTTTTTGCCTTCCTTTGGATCCACTGTGGGTGTAGGATAACGTTTTTTTTTTTTTAATGGTTGAAACTAGAGCAACCAATAAACTTTCTAAATTGCCAGTTTACCGTCCTTCAGACTTTAGGGGGCCGAACTGTGGTCATCGGGAGTAGAAAATGTCCCTCATCATTTGGGGTAAACAATTCCCCATGGTTGATGTCAGTGAGATGAATTGTGCCCTATCCTTGGTATCTTCGGTAGGTATTGTGCCCCATCATTGGAGTAATGGGGCCACATTGTTGGTGTCATTGGGAGGAACTGTGCCCCATCATTAGGAGGAATTGTGACCCATCATTGGTGTCATTGGTAGGAATTGTATTCCATTGTTGGTCTCATTGGGAGGATTGTTGATTGTGACCCATCATTGGTGTCATTGGTAGGAAATTGTGTTCTATTGTTGGTGTCATTGGGAGGAATTGTGACCCATCTATTGGTGTCATTGGGAGGAATTGTACCCCAACATTGGTCTCATTAGGAGGAATTGTGCCCCATCATTAGGAGGAA